CAGCCTATGGAAGTCAGTGATGTGTCGCCTGTGCCTCTGTCTAAGTAGCATTTGTTCCCTTGAGGGGTCTTCTGCCCTTTCTTTCTTGTGTCTGGTGCATGTGATTGTCTACATGGATGAACATCTATGTAGAGGCCAGAGGCCAGCCCCAGGCGTCAACCTCAGGAACTTGGTTCACTGATTCCACAAGGGTAGTCAACCAGGGGGCCCTAAAGATCTGCTTGCCTCCACCTCCCCGGTGTTCCAATTACAGACACTGGCCACCATGCCCAGCATTTATTGGGTACTGGGGATTTAACTTGGGTCCTCAGGCTTGTGAGGGGACCACTTGACTAACTGAGCCATTCCCCAGCCCCACTCTATGGGTATTCTTAGACAAGTGGATCTACTCTCTCACTTGGTGTTCCAGATGCTTGCAACTTCAACTTACTTTACCATGTCTCACACCCTGCATGTGGTCCTCATCTGGATGAGGTCACTTCACCTAGAGGATGCTCCTTTCTGACCTCAGCCTTCACAATCACTTCCAAAGTTCTTCGGGTAGGTCCCGCCTCCAGCCTGGGCCCTGCCTCATGGTGAGTCTCTGCTCCCCGCAGGCAGGACCCTCTGCTCCCCCCTGCTTGCCTCACTGACTCATCTTTCCTGGCTCGGCTCCTCTCGCTGTTGGTTACTGCTCCCCTGGGTTTGTCCACAAAGCTCCTCACATCTCAAGTCTAGACGCTCTCCTAGGAGAGCTGCTTTGTCGCCATCCCTTACACTGTCACGTCTCTACGGTGACTTACACGCTCACTTTCCCAGTCTGATATCTCTCCCGGGCTCCCAACCTTCACTTCCTGCCTCGAACCTTTTCCTCGTGGAAGGCATCACCACCAAGCCTCTCTCCGAAGCCTGCTGTTTCTCTTCCCCTCCCCTTTCAGGAGGCCCACGCGTCACTCTGCCTCCGTGGTCTTCCTCCAGTGTGCTGTCCGCTGAGTTGCGCTAATGACTGCATTCATCATGCTGCTGCTAGGCTGAAACTGATGATGGCCTGCAGGGCCACGGGTGTGGCTCACTGGTAGAGCACTTGCTTGGCACCCATCAGGATCTCATACCTAGCACCATTCACAAAGCCATTCACGCTTTCCATGCCAGCTTCACGAATGTCCCCAAGGCCTGTGACCATGCCTGTCTCTCCTGTTCCATTAAACTCCTTTACTGGTGTAGCCACATCTCATGCACCCTGGAAACCCCAAACTGCATGGCCCTGTTGCTGACTTTAAATATATGTTGGCCACCATGCCTGGTATTTATATGGGGACTGGGGACTGAAGTCAGGTCCTCATACTTGTGCCGCACGTGTTCGGCTGCTGAACAGTGGATAAATACCCA